CCTTCATTTTGACCTTAAACCCTTCATCTCAAACCCCCCTTCACCTCTAACCCTCCCTTTACCTACATTAAACCCTCCACTTCAAATCCTTCACTTTAGACCCTGCCTCAAACCTTCCACCTCAGACAAACCCTTCTTCACCTCCACCCCCCTAAACCCTTCATCTTAAACCTTTTACCTCAAACCCTTCATCTTGACCTTAAATCCTTCATTTTGACCTTAAACCCTTCATCTCAAACNCCTTCATTTTGACCTTAAACCCTTCATCTCAAACCCCCCTTCACCTCTAACCCTCCCTTTACCTACATTAAACCCTCCACTTCAAATCCTTCACTTTAGACCCTGCCTCAAACCTTCCACCTCAGACCTCTTAGTTCAAACCCTGTTGACGGTCCCTCCTCTGCCTCCTCGTGGTATCCCTCTTGCAATTTGCGATTCTCACCACCCAGCTCCTTCTGGCTGTCATTTGGAAATTACCATGCTGTCTTTCAACCTGTAATAATGGCTTAGGATTTTTTTACCATGGTAGTTTCCAAAGGACCATTTTTTTTTTTACTGTCTTGTGGGCAATCGTCAGCCCGTGGTAGTACTTGCTTAGTGGCGCGTGGCGTCCTGGGCTGAGAGATTGCCCACAAGACAGTTAAAAAAAATCAGGCAGGTTTGTCGAGAGCCTTGGAGTCAAAATGATTTATGGCTGCATCTGGACTGAAAGTTGCCCCAAATGCAGCTATAAGGAGTCGTGTGGGAACTGGATGTGGTGTGGCATGCTCTTGGGGAAGTTGAATGTAAAAATGTGCTCGACGAGACGTCTGTTCCTCCTCCTCGTCTTCGTCTTTTGCAAAAGAAAAAGGAGTGAGAGTCCATTGGAAAGTCTTTGACCCCTACCGTTTTCGCTCGAATAGAACACCCGGTCATTATGGCTGCATCTGGACTGAAAGTTGCCCGAAATCCAGATGCAGCCATAATGACCGGGCGATCTACTCGTGTGAAGACACTACAAGGTAGGCCTGTTCCGTTGAGCACTGTGCTCCTCCTGTGGGTTGCTGAGTTGCTCTTGTGTGTTTTTTAATTTCCTGAGGAGAGTAGCCTCTAACATTACTGTACCTGTATCTGGCTGGATTTGAACTCTTGATCCGTTTTTCAACAGTTATATGCATGCGTGTACGATTCAGCCTACAAGCAGGTTTTTTTTTTTGTGCGGTGGTCTGAAAAGGTTCTTGGCCTGTTGGCTTTGACTGAGTGATAAAAAAGACAAAGGGCCTCAGGATGGGTAAGCAGTCTGTTTTGCCGGGGGAGAGAGAACGTCAACGGTGCAATTTGCAACACAACGACAAATTGCGAACACAACGACAAATTGCATTAGGAACAAGTTGGGATCGGAAGAGAGAAAATCTGTGAAGGAACGAACGAACGAAGGAAGGAAGCATACGGACGCCAAGCTTTCTGCCAAGCAAAGTGAAAAGCGAAAAGAGAATGGAGAGAAGATTGAAAATCCTGCGAAGGCGAGGCAGAGCTGAGAACAAGGGCACCGGAACAAAAGACTCTGCGCCATGCAAACAAGTAGTAAACTGCAATGGATTCCACACTGCTGCCGACCGGCCGTCGGATAGGAATGCGAGGCCAACGAGAAGCATTCACTCGTTCTTGTTCGAGAGCTCGTCTCGCTTCTTGACGGTATCGTCAGACGGCAACGTCTCGATTAACCTGCCATCCGTGCTTGCCGGCGACCGGCTACTTCTTAGGGAACAGAAGCTTATTGCTAAGAATGACGCGGAGGAGTTCAGATCGAAACCTCCGTCGTCTACGATTAAAGGACGAGAACTCCGAGAAGTAAGCGGAAACGATCGCAGCACGATCTTCAAGGGGGGATGGGAAGGAGGGACACATTCTTGCATTGCTAACGATTCTATCTCCACCGGCGGAAACTTTGCCAGTGATCTTGCCACTGAGAAACCTGGTTCAAATTGTAAGAATGGATGTTGGCACGATACGGAGGATGTAAAGGCGGAGAGCAAAAAGGGATTCAGCGTGTGCGAAGAGCAGGAGCGCATCGATGATCAACCGAGAAACTCTCATCTTCTGGTCGAGGATCATCACAAGACTTCCTCCTCTCCCCTCGAGAGGAGAGAGGCGCCCTCCCCATCAAGCAGCCCGGATGCAGTCTGTCCGTCTGCGAATGGCAAGAACAGGACAGCTGCAGGGCAATCTCCACGTGGGCGGTACGGAACCCTCAGATCGAGTCTATCTGACGGTGGACGTGCAATAAATGGAAAGGACACTGATATTTCTAACCATGAACAAGTCCCTGAAGTTGGGATAGATGCCATAGAGGAGGATGTGGAGGAGGAAACTGGTGACGCCAGGCCATCATGGGAAGCGAAATCGGATTCACTCAGCCCCGATTTGGTCGCATATGAGGCCAAAGGAGTCGTCCCGCTGACACCAATGACAGAGCCATCGTCGAGCTCTGGGCTGAAGTCTGTGCCGTTAACCCCGGACACAGAAACATCGCTTAGGAACAGACCGGGCCCATGTTGTTCGCCTTTGTTGCCGACAGGAGACCAAAGTACATGTCGCTCGGCATTCACTGTCCGCCGTTCTTTGTCTCCTCAAACCCCCATCTCTTCAGACCAGCAGCTTCAGGTGCCAAGCACCACAGCCAATTTGGTAGGTCGGGTTATTTGTCAGGAGGATGAAATGACAGCCAACTGTAGGACTCCGTTGCCTGGTACGTGGCAACAAGGTGCTGCTGGAGCAGGGGTGGTACCAAATCCAGCGGCTCGATTACGCGATTACGATGCACATCAAATGCAACAAGGAGGGGTCGCACAAAGCGTTTTGGCGAAAGCAGATGGTTCTGGTCCCTGTCCCGTAGAGGCCAATGAAGCAGAATGTAATGAAGGACATAAACGAATGCTTGCGCGGAAGACCCCTGGCACCAGTCCCAAGCAGGGAACTGGGCCCGCACTGCATAATGAGGGAATGAACTATCAAGCCGTGATGACAGACTTCGGCGGTGTGCATGGTAAAGACCCTGGGGGCAAAATTCCTTGCGGCGGGCATTTCGTTCAAAAGAGGAGCCATGGAGACGATGCACTGGAATTGTCGAAGCGTTCTGCTGGTCGTCCTTTTCAAACGAGGAGCCATGGAGACGATGCACTGGAATTGTCAAAGCGCTCTGCTGGTCGTCCTTGTGAGGAGGACAAGCTGCGAACTCTTGAGAGCAAACAGGCTGACCCTGAACACTTTCCAGTGAAAATGGATTCTCTTCACAGTCCCAGCAAAGCACCAGCGACGACAGGTAAGTTGGTCGGATCTGTGAGTGGTATGTGTGCCGGTCACCTTTTGCAGAATGCGAAAAAGCCTGAAGACGATGCTTTCCTTTGTGGAACAGCAACTGGTTTCCAGACTGACGGTACTGTTATGCGGACGGTCGACGGCGAAACTCGAATCGATGTCAAGTTGTCTAGCTCAGAGAAGAAGATGCCGCCGGATGTAATCTCCCTGAGCACAAGCAGTGATTCATTCTTGAAGGCGAACGAAATGCCATCAGTCAAAAGACCCCCCTTGCGAAGGTTGCGAAGGCTGCGAAAGGTTGGAGAGGTTGGCGCGGGTGTTCCCCCAAAGGCGGATGGATCCGAGGAGGTCAAAAAAGGCCCTGGAGCACCGCAAGGAGTCAGACGAGGGCTTGCACGTGCGTTTGGTTCTGAATTGACAAACGGCAACGCCAGAAAAGCTGGCGAGAGAGGACATAAGGTAATGATGAACAGCAAGAGAGCGGGAAAGGGATGGCAAAGAAAGGAGGAGATGAGGAGCGTCAATGCTCGTGTATTCATCGAGAGTCAAGCAATGGTGTCGCCCTCTCTTGAAGTGTCCTCCGATGAAGAGGAGGAGGAGGAGGAGGAGGAGGAGGAGGAGGAGGGGCATCGGAACGTTGATGACAAAGAAGTGGCGCAGACAGGCGGGACATTCATTGATGACAGCTCACAGGCTGCTTCTGTGACCCAAACCGGTCGATCTGTCGATATGCTGAATGTTTACAGAAGGTCATTGCAAACGCCATCGCCATTTTCACAGGAGGGTCCTAGCCCCAAGTTCTCCCCGACTAAGGGTTTGCGAGGGCTGCTCCCTAATTGCCGAAAACTGAGGTTCATAACTCCTGGCTCCGTTCAAGATACCCAAATGGGATCGGACGCTGAGCACGAGGAGGAAGAGGATGATGACAGGCAAGAGAATGGTAGCTATGAGCTAGAGGATGGAAAAGACAACATAGGGAAACCTGCTCGATGGAACTGGGGGGGACGAGAACAAGGATGGCAGGCACGTCGTGAGGACAGAAAGTTAGGACAGAATCTGGAGCTCAATAAAAGTAGAAACGTTGAACGCGCGCACGGTCACTGCTCATTGGACCAGAATGAAGGTTCCTGGACCAGGCCTGGACCAGGAGCAGGGCGACCAACTGCCAGAACCGGGTCAGCCGAGGGTCCTGGAGCCGTCATGGGTACGCGGTTGTCACGTCCGGCTCCAGGTCACAAGCGACCGAGGACAAACGATCATGGGTATTCCCCCGAGTGTGCCGAGTCAGCTGGCAGGTATGCTGGCGAGTACCAGAGTGGCAGCGCAGTGGACGAACACCTCAGGGTGGGCACCGGTTTTTGTGACGGTGCTGGTGATGATCGGAGGACAGGTGCAGAGGGGGAAATTTCCACACGCTTTGGATGTGGCGTTAGCAGCAGCATGTGCAGTGGGATGGGGCACATAGAGCATCGCAGCTCTGCATCTCTCAGCTTCGACCAACGTAAAGCTATAAATAGCAGCGCAGGTGGATGCCGTCCCGTCGGCAGTGCTCATTTCCGGGGGAATGAAATGGGAACTGGTCAACTGGGGATCCAGCAAGTGGAGAAAGAACGGCAGCCATCGGGATCAGCTCCATGGAAAACTGGTATGTCAGTCCAGGCTCATGTGTCATCCCAGAGGCCTGCAGCAATGCCAATGGACCATAGTAGGGCAGCGGGTGCTGTGCCATCCATGGTTTCCTATACAGAACCCCATGTTCTCCGGGACCACCTGCATGATCGGGTCGGGACCGTGGAAACCGACGCCCGTCCCACGTTCACTTACGGCGCTAGCATCCCGAAAGGCAATAGCAGTTTTGCGTATGCTTCTGGGATGTCAAAAGGCAGTTGTGCTGCTTACGGTACTGGCGGGATACAAAAAGGCAGCAGCTGCAGCACTTACGGGGGCAAGGTACCAGAAGGCAGCGGTGGCGCTGACGGTACTGGGGTACGGAAACACACTATTGAGAACAGGGTAATCAGCAAACCACTATGGGAGCTGGATGACACAGATGATTTTCTGGGCGATGTCGACCTTGATGCCCTGGAAGCTTCGGCAAAGGAAGAAGCCCAGAAAAGAGCAGCAAAAGCTGCGCATCAGGGCAGTGAGGCTTACAAAGGACCATGCCTCAGCTTTAGTGCAGTTGGCCAGAACCCCGCAAAGGCGCTCGCTCCGCAGCTACCATGTTCGATGACTAACAGTACAAGGAATTGGGATGGTAAGCAGCCCGGGGCACCGAGCTCCTTTCAACGATTCGCCGGAGTTTCCTTTGCGGCTGGCATGAGGGAACGAGACAGCGTGCGAGATCGTAAGGCAAAGGAGAATGTACCCGATGGTACCTCATTTGAGCTCGAAGTCCCCTCGTTTGAACTCGGAATCGATGATCTTCTTTATTGACTAAGTACATTGTGATGGTGTTGTTGGATAGAGGCCAAGTAATTGCTGGTGATGCTTTCCCTTTTTCTTTTCTTTTTTTCTTTTTTTTCTTTTTTTTTTCTTTTTTTTTTCTTTTTTTTTTCTTTTCTTTTTTCTTTTCTTTTTTCTTTTTTTTTTCTTTTTTTTTTTTTTTTTTTTTTTTTTTTTTTTTTTTTTTTTTTTCTTTTTTTTTTTTAACAACAGGGCCAAATAATTGCTGGTGATGCTGGTCATGACGGTACTTATATATAGATTTTGTACGTGCTACAATGGCAATGACAATAGGAAGCAAGGCTTTAAGGCGGAACGAATCCCTAAACATTGCCTCAGATCGGATTGTTCACTGCACCTCAAGAACATGAAGTTGGAATCGCTAGTGATCATGGAACAGCATGGCCTGTGCTA